CTACTTGATCCACTGGGGGCTGTATGTAAGCTGTATCTATTAACAGTTGAATTAAGTGACTTCCAACCTGGAATATATGAAAACTGCATTAGAATGTGAAGTGAAGATCGGTCCAACGTTCATATGTACAAAGATTGGAACATCACAAACCTTTACTTGACCTTCCTGCCCCCAAGGCTTTGAAGCATCAAATGTCTTTACTAGTGCTGTTGCTTTTCGGATCTTCTGTTTTTTCATTAAATTTGCAACTTTCTTCCTTAATTTATCCTGCTCACTAGCCACTTTTTCACTATCTTCAATCACATTACATTCTCCTGGTGTTGCAGGATTAGATTGTCCATCAGGGCTGACAGTAGTAGTGTTCTTCTTCTTCTTACTCTTCTTTGTCTTGTCCAAAAATCTGTATATTCTAGCCTGATCCACATATAATACTAACACTTCAATGAATGAATACTTGACTAATAATTCAAGATGGTGACACCTAATTTGAACAGATAGCATGGGATTACTACATTAAATATTGCTCGATTTATATCTTTTGACTGACATGAGAGATAAAATAAATATGGCAATACTCAACATCCAAGAGTCAACTACACAAATTAGCAACAGAAAAATAATTTCACCATAATCATGGCATACAAAAGTTCGCCCAACTCTGTAAGAAAGAAATACATACTTTTTTCCTACTAAATATAATAAGGAAAACAAGCTAGGAAAATGGTTCCAGAATGAAAACGTATACTTTTGAAACAGGATAAAAAGACACTTCTTCAAAAGTACCCTCAGTCAACAGTTACCAACTCCATTTGCAGGTCATAAAACTTCACCAAATGACAGAATAAATATCGAGTTTAGTATACCTCCTGTTCGACCGCTTCACCTATCTGAAGAGAGGCTTGGATTACTCGAGTGCTGCCTATACCACTACTATTTGTCATCAACAATCCCATCAATTTATGCATGGTAATGACTGCCATCATCTCCGCAGGCAATTGATTAAAATAAGGCGCATGAGTGTTCGCGCTGCTGTTTCTGCAAGCCTCTTGCTCCGCGGCAATTGCATTCCGCAGGGGTTCAAACCAACCAAGGAACAACGACTTCATATACGGCAAATTGGGTGCAAGCTTCTGCTCACACATGTCTGCCAATAATTCTTGATATTCTTCGGCGGCACGTTCCCATGCCTCTGTCTCCATCTTAACCTGCCTTCTACAAAGCATTTTATATCTGTGTCTCGCTGCACCCGCCATCTCATGCACTGGTTTCTGCGCCTGAGGTTGCGCCTTCGCTTGTTTTTTCATTTGCCCAAACAACTGCTGATTGTCATCGGACCCAGAAAAATCTTCTTCAGACTCTTCGGACTCAATAGCCTCAGCAACACTAGCAAAACCTCTAGCCGACCTCAAAGAAAAATAAGAACCCAAGGGGTCTTCAGAAAGCCGAAAATTGGGAATTCCCAGCTCATTTTTAGAAGTAAATACACCAACTTGATAAAACCCCACACCTGGCAATCTCGAGTTTGCCGGCGTTTGTGTTTCGGAGGGGCTTATCCTCCCTAGGAAAACTCCAGCCTTCGGAAAACCTCATGTAACTTAAAGAAGGCACATAAGAGGATTCAGAGAATAGTTTAAACTTCCTCAAGGAAGTTCGCTTGGCTATGTTCGCCCACATCTCTCAATGGAGTCTACAATTAACAGAACAACTTGGAGAGAGAGACTTAAGTTATAGCTCAAAGATGCAAAGAAATGCAGAGTTGATCCACATCGAATTACTGAAATTTCTCCGAAGAGTGAACGGCCCCACAATCGGGGGGGAAAAAAGAGACGAGTGGTATTAGATTGAGAGCCGATGGGAATGAAGAAATGGCGGCAATTGAAGGACCTTGAGCGGGCAAAGTAGAGAAGGCATAGCCGCCTCTAAACCCTTCATAAACCTGCGTCTTCACCTTCATGCTCCAGTAGGCGCTATTTCTCAGCACAAGCGCTCAACGGTACAAACCGGATCCGGGTCAGATCCGGACATGTCTTTTTCTTTTCCGTTGTTTTGTCTCTAAACTTAGCAGACGAATTGCAAGACTTATTTTTTAATAAAATCAAAATCAATCCGGCCACAAAATAATTTTTTATTCTTATTTAATTAAAACGGACAAATTATGGTTTAGTCTATTATTTTCATTTTTCAATTTAAATTAAATTATCTTATTTCTTTTTCAAAGAAATTGTTTTTGATGTATGCATTAATTATTTATGGATGGCTTTGGAACTGTTTTGGGGCATATCTCTTACCAAAATACGCCTTTCCATTTAAATATAAGGGTTAGATAAAAATATGTGCTATTTTTTAAAATACTCATCATATGTCTTGTTTTTTAAAATATATTTACATGGAAAATTATTCACATTTATTAAATATGGTGTACAATTAATATGAGTACTTTTAAAAAAAAAACAGTTAGAGAAAATAATAAGATTGAAGTCTCATATTTAAAATTTAACAAACTCTTACATTTTACCACTATGAGAAATAAACTATAATTGTGCCAGTTGTATATTAGGAAAATGATCGAAAAAGACCTGAAAATTACAAGATCCAAAATTAGGAATTCTCATAAAAATGGATTGTTATTTACAAGTAAGTTGTTATCAAAACCCGTTAAAATATTGTAATAAATCCCTATTTGAGATTTTGTAATTTTTACAGTTTTTATCTACATTTTTCCTTTTATATATTAATTAAAAGCACTGTTTAATGTTTTAATTTTATAGAGAAAGTGTGTGTATATTATACTACCTCCGGTTCTTAATATAAAACCTGGTTTGATTTTTATTTTGGTCCTAAATATAAGACTTCAATCCACTTTGTCTCTTATATTTAAACATTTTTTCTAAGGTAATCCTTCTAATAATGGTAGTTTTAGCCAATACACTTAATTAGTAAAGATATTTTAGAAAAGATAATACTTATTTATTACAAATAACTAATTTAACTTATTTTTTTAATCTCCTCAAATTAGTTAACTAGCTTCTTTAATTAGGATCAGAGGTAGTATATATATGTGTATATTTCATATAAATTTCATCTAATCCTATATTCTTATACTTTTAGCTAAATATATGATCAATTTTGTATCTGAAAGACTTTATTTTCATACACTGGCCAGCACTTCTCCAGTTGCACGTATGACATACAGACACACGCCTAAGATTCAAACTTATCAGTGACTGGTTCTTCCAGGTTTTAAATTTTAAAAGCTTTAAAATATAGGGTTAAAGTGAAAATTTGTCCCAAAAATTTTCTCAAATTTTCACTTAAGAGTGCTAGGTATCCAAAAAAATTTTTGAACCCAATGTCGCTCTAGAAGTTTTCAAATCATATCAATATCTCCTTGACTATTATCTAGGTTAAGTTTGACTGTTTGTTAATAAAACATGCTTAGTTGACAGTCCACATGTCATCTATGTCTTTTTTTTTTAGGGTTATAGTGCAAATTTGCCCTAAAAACTTTTAATTAGAAATACTGGTTACCTGGAAGTTTCTAAATTATAACAATGTTGCTCTAAGAGTTATCCATATTAGGTTTGACTATTAATTGACCAAATATGTTGAGTTGGTAAATTCACATGTGATCCACTTCATTTTTTTCTCTGGGGTGAAAATTTAACACTAACTCTGAGAGAAAATCATTGGTTCTATGCTTTTCAAGCCCGTAACGATTTTCAAAATCGACCTCATCGTTTATATCTTTAAAGAATTCCGGTGAGCTTTTTCTCTACAAATATTATTTACTATATTTTTTATGTTTACTTTTATTCTTACAAAAAGTACCAAACTAATAGCAAATGGCAAAATAACAAATGTGTAGAAAGAACTGGGATTATGAACCAAGAATGAAATGGATAACTTGAAAAAAAATAAAATAAAATTCGTCACATATAACTTACCAACTCAGTATATTTTGTCAGCTAGTGGTCAAATTTACATGAAGAACAATCGGGACAGTATTACTATAATTTAGAAACTTCTGAATATCCACAACTCTAGAGTAAAAACTTTCAAAACAAATGTACAATTTAACCCAAAAAAGAAAATAACGTGGATAACACATAAATCTACCAACTCACCATAATTTGATCAGCTAATAATCAAACTTAAACTAGATAATGGCTAGGAAAACAATACTACAATTTGAAAACTTCTAGAATAATGTTGACCCTCAAATATACTATACACACACTTCCAAAAAACATACTACCTCCGGTTCTTAATACAAGATCTTGTTTAACTTTTATTTTTATTCTAAATATAAGATCTCAATTCACTTTGTCTTTAATATTTATGTATTTTTTTAAAAATAATCCTTCTAACAATAATAATTATAACCAATACACTTAATTAGTAAAAGTATTTTAGTAAAAACAACACCTATTTATTACAAATAACTAATTTAATTCTTTTTAGTCTTTTCAAATTAGTCAACTAGCTCTTATAATTAAGATAGGAGATAGTATATGCATTGAGCATCCATCATTGTAGCCATTAGAACTTGAGATAATTTTTGACGAATACTTTTGCCAATTTTGCACCCATTGCAGGCCGGAATCATGACCATCCTCGTCCTTTAAAAGGAACAATCATTCCTCCCCCCAGCCCCCAAAAGGCTAAAACTATATTTTCTAAATTTAGTCTCTCAACTTTAAAAATATAATCCTCAAATCATTAAAAAATGCACAAGTTTCATGTTTGGTTGTCAAAAAAATTTATCATTAAAAACTAATAATTTCAAGATTAAAAGACTAAAAATATACTTTTCAAACCAAAGACTAAGTTTAAAACTTGTTAGCTTTTCTTTTAAAAAAAAATGGTATGGGATTTTCATTAGTAATCATTTCAACTTCAACCAAGTAGGAAAACTGATGAACCGGTGCCTCTTCCCCACTTAAGTACCAGTTTCCAGGAATTACAGGGGCCCTTGATCATTATGGTAATTAATCCTGATGTAGAGGACCCTCACCTGTATATTGCTACTTTTGTCAAATCAATAAAATAATCAATGATGCAGAAGTGGATCAAGAGACTCTGGGAAAAGCCACATCTCACATTCCTTGATGGAATTTACAATTCCCCAGGAACAAATTTACTTCTACACCAAAAATCTGTAAGCACACTAACCCAGTTGCCCCTTTCTCACTTTTCATCATTATTTGCGTGATTTCCTCAAGCAATACCTAAAACAAAAATTTGTGGGTGCACCTAATCGGTTGTCCAAGGATCATGCTCATTCTCGTGTCTCACTTCAGAAGGCTCAACCACTTCGGCCTCAAAAGATTCGTTTGTGTTTGCATCAGCTTCGACGGTCCCTGTCTCCTCATCTGATCTACCCCATCTTCCTCCCAAGGCCAGTGCCATCATTTCATAAATCTTGTTTCCCAACTCAGCTGGGCTGTCAGGCTGCGACATTAACAGAAATAATGTTACTATACCGCTGATGTACCAGCAGTGAAGGAAAAAATAAAAAATAAAAAGCTGCTAAATTGTCAGTACCGAAAATCCACTAGAGATCAATGCGGTCTCATATAAGAGCTCAACGGCTCTCTTAGCATCACTGCTGTCAGGTGCATTCTTGCAGGCAGCCTGGGAGGTCAAAGAGAGTATAAAATAGTCAATAAGACAGGTCAAAGCCACAAACAAATTCAGTAATAACTAAACAGCATTGCCTTTAAACGGTCTTACATTCAAGTCTTTGACAATGGGATGATCTGGATTAACCTCCAATATTCTCCTTCCCCTCATGAACTCCAAACTTGCAGTGTCTCCAAGAGCCTGCGCCTTCATTAATCTGTAGGAAAGGAAATGGTATGGTATGAGGATTACAATATAAAAGAACAAGATAAACTGCTTGAGATCGAGGAAAATGTCCTGGCTCAGAAAGCCACAGATGGAATAACCAACCTCTCCATATTTGCAGACCATCCAAACTTGCCAGATACAAGCACACAGGGAGACGAACTCAAGCGCTTAGAGACCTGAACTTTTGCCACCTTATCACCAAGCTGTTGTTTCATCCAATCACAAAGCAGATTGTATTCTTGCTTTGTTTCCCTCTCTTTCACCTCATCCTCATCACCTGTTCCAAAAATATTAGATGTGAAATACTATCCGAATATCTATTCACAAGGAGCGAAATGGTACTCTAGGTAGAAAATCACACATACCCAATTCTAGATCTTCCTTGCTAATATCAACAAATTTCTTTTCCTTGTATGTCTGTAGGTTCTGAATGGCAACCTCATCAATCGGGTCGATCAAATAAAGAACCTACAAGAGAGACCCCGCATATATTAAAGAGTAAACAAATTGAAAGGAGAAAAATAGAATATGAATCTAAAACTAATATCAAATACATTCAACCCTATACATTAAGCCTAGAATTTATGCATAATGTACCTCAATATCTTTCTGGACTAATTTCTCCAAGAATGGAGCAGTTTTGGCACTTTTCAAGCTGTCCGTTGCCAGGTAATAGATAGCCTTCTGGTTTTCACCCATGTTTTCCACATAATCATCTAAACTTTTGAGCTCCTCCTCACTTTTGGAAGTGTAAAACCTCAAAAGAGGTGTTATGCGCTTATGATTTCCAGTGTCTTCAACACATCCTAACTTGATGAATCTACCAAAGTTCTCCCAAAATTTCTTGTAGTCCTGTAATCACAAGCCGTCCCATCAATTGGAAAGGCTTCTCACTTCATATTGAAAATTAGATAATTGAGTTTATGCAACCAACCTCTTTATTTTCACTTTCAGCGATATCTTGAATCATGTCAAATGTCTTCCTAACAAGTCTTTTTCTCATTATTCTTACCTGCAATTATAATATATTGAAACAATATATTTTAGAAACAGATCGTTAAAGATAAACTACATAAATGATGTCTCAACAGTAGGGAAATCTTTCCTTCAGGTTCAAATCATGGAAAGTCTCTCTCATGTTTGAAGAAAAATAAAAAGAATTCTTACAATTCTGCTTTCTTGAAGGATTTCTCGGGAAACATTGAGAGGAAGGTCATCTGAATCTACCACACCTTTCACGAAACTCAAGTACCGTGGGAACTGCACAACAAATATTGAGATTGAAGATTTACTTTAGAATACCCTGGATGGATCAGAGGGGAGGGAAGCATTGAACAGCACTAACGTTACATATATGAGATAGTATACTAGTTTTGTGTGTGAAGATGGCATCTCATGACAGGCGAACTTCCATGACATACAACTAAAAGCATCTACACTTTTAGAGAAGCCATTGTTCCATAAAAATATAGCTGGTTGTTGGATAATTCGATCCCTACATTGCTGAGTAATATTCAAGCAATGACTAATCTCTTCCTAGCGCACTCTATCATAGTCATGTATTAGCAAACATGTTGCATTACTCTTTGGAGAGAAAAAAAATCAACATATAAGATTATTGTAAAGACATCAACGTCATCCAGTTCACAAGTTTAATTGATTGCAACCATTTAATAATCACAAGCATTTCCCAATTCAACAAAACTCGGACAATTAAAACCAGACGCACTAAGTACCATATTCCAGGACTAGAGGTTTTTTTCTTCAGATGTATGATCTACAGAGTAAAAGAATAACTCAGTAGGAATACTAAGAACGAAGAGCACGACTATAACAAGAACAGCTCAGGTCACCAGTGCTTCTAGAACCAGAGGCACTGAGCATGTCAATTTCAGAACTCAGTCCAATTAGGAATTTAATTCAGGGTTTCCCTTTTACAGTTACATTAGTTGGATGCAAATGAGGAGTTTGATGCTAATATGTAGCACGTTTGCTTCTAAAAGGGAGATATCAGGTACTTTCATTTTGCTTTGACAGTTTGGCCCAAAAAAATTGCTTTGAAAGAGAACTAAACGTTTTAAACTTCTTTGTCCAATCTTAGAGTGATCCGGGGTCTGCTTCTAAAAGCAAAATATCAGGTCTTTTCAATTTGCTTTCAAAGAGCATTAAATGATTGCAAATCTTTCTTATCCTCTGCTTTCTTGTCTCGCCAAACAGATCAGAGTAATTCAATATGTAAATCCACTCCGTTGTGGTGGAATAATAGGCATAGTAAATGGCTACAGATACCGCAAAAGTACCATACTACTAACTCGAAGAAAAGATGGAAGTCATATAACAGCAAATAACTGAAAGAAGCGTAATACATAAGAAATATCATAGCAGCAGAAGCAAAAATATCATAATATAGAAGATAGTATTCGTTCAAAGCCTATACAGTAAACTTACCAGCTCACCGTCAAAATCATCTGATATGAAGACACGCTTCACATACAGGCGTATATTCTTTGTTTTAGGATTTATTACTTCTTCATTGTTAAGAGGACCCATCCCAGGCACGTACAGAATGCTTCTAAACTCAACCTCACCCTGCAGGGATTACAAATCTTGTTAAATTACTTCCTAGAACTTGCTCTGTTTGCAGATAATCACAATCATCATCCTACCTCTGTGGTGAAGTGAGTATATGCAAGTGGTTCTACAAACTCATTGAAAGTCTTCTTGTAGAACTCCTGATATTCTTCCTTTTGAAGATCCTTTGAACTCCGCATCTGTAAACAGTGGCAAAAGATTATCAATAAGAGATGCACTGTAACTGGAGAAAAGGAAAACACGTCCTAAATATAGCGTGAACTCACCCATAGTGGCTTTGTTTCATTGGCCAATTCCCAGTCCCAATACTTCTCAGTTTTAGTCTTCTTTACCTTCTTTTTCTCACCCTGGTAGCAAGAGCAGCAACAGATTTGGTGATGCATAGAGAAGTATGCAGAATGCCTACATAAAAATTAAAAAAAAAAAAAAAAATTGAACAATTACCTCTGGTTTAGGTTCTTCCCCTTCTTTTGATTCTTCCTCTTCTTCCACCTGTTATGTTCAAATTAATAAATTTTTTCCGAAGAAAAGATTATCAAATTGTCACTCATTCAAAACACATATTTCAGAAACCAAGTGTCTTTTCAATTGGAAAGAGATAACTTACAAAAAGGGAGAAATGATCACTCCCTTTCTTCGTAGGTGGAAACAAATTTCTAAAAGAAACATTCTTCTGTCACATTCACATATACTCCCTCCGGTTCAAAATATAAGCTAAACTTTATTCATTTATGTTTACCAAGAAACTAGTTAAAATTAGTTCAAAACAATAAATGAGTAAGGCATATAGTTTTTTTCCCAAATATACCCTTATTAATAAAGAGAATAAGTAAAAGAATGCAATAAATGAATCAAAAGGAGAGAGAATATGTAGGGGTAAAATTGGAAAAAACTCATTAAATGCTTAGATAAAAGTGAATGTTATCTTATTAAAAAAACCAAGAGTCTCAAACCAAGTTTAGCTTATATTTTGAACCGGAGAGAGTACATTTCTCCAACATCAACCATCTCCAATTTCCTATACCCTACACATTCAACATTAATCTAGCCTGATCCTCAGTGATCTCCTCAGGGACATCAGCACGTAGCACCAGTTTACATAGGGATCCCAAAAAACCGTGTAGACTTAAAAACAGGAAAAATCCAACCTCAGCCAATGGAAACTATGAAGAGTTCTGTTATAAGGAAATTATGCTCCCTGATAGCCTTCATTATAAAAGAAAATTACAATACTAGCTACAATATGGAGGCAAATCTCAGGTTTCAATGATGTTTTACCATCAGCACTGCTGGAAACACTCCCAATATCCCAATAAGTACATCATTCATACTTTACTAAAGGACATGAAGCCCGTTGCTAAAAGGTGATATTCTTTCATTAGAATAGAACAAGGTATGTGATGTATGTTTTGCTTGCATATCATATGATGCTACTATCCGACATATGCAGCAATTATACCAAGACCAGAAATGATAACAAAAACCTGTAACATGAGAAGGCACACTTACCTCCACAGTTCGTGAATTTTCTTGCCATGTATAGATGGGGAAGGAAACAAACTGAGAATAATTTTAACCAAATTCTGAATCCTGGTTGGCTCTGAGAATTCATATTTGTCATCCGCCTGGACAAGAGAACAAGAATTTTGAAATAATCAGCGTTATAAACTACATTAAAATACTATCTTACAGGTTATTACTGCTACAACGTGTTCACTCATTCATTAGGGAATATATATAAATAACTACAACACCAAAACAATTTATGCTAAATTCATGATAAGCTACCTAGGATCCTCTGCTACATATTCTAATTCGATTCAACTTTACAACATATCAACAAGTTAGATGCCGCATACATTGGGAGCAAGATGCAAATTCTCATTTACATAGACATCACACCATCAAAATAATTAAGGAGTGATACGTACTCTGAGATAGAGTGTAATTTGAGTGCCACGACGCAATAGCTTGTCTGGATCAGTTTCTTCCCTTATTGTGTAAGAGCTGCTATCAGCTACTGATTCCCACACCCATATTGCTTATCTGATCTTGGGCTCTTG